GTGCTCATGTATAGTTTTGGAGTACTGGACGTACTTTTGATCACCTAGTGGGTGATAATAGCGGCAGGCTGCCGAATAATTTTAGAGTACTGGGCGTACTTTTGATCACCTGGTTGGTGATAATAGCGGCAGGTTGCTAAATAATTTTGGTACTGAGCGTAATTTTGATTACCTGGTTGGTGATAATAGCGGCAGGTTGCCGAATAATTTTGAAGTACTGTGCGTACTTTTGATCACCTAGTTGGTGATAATAGCGATAGGTTGCCGAATAATTTTGAAGTACTGGGCGTACTTTTGATCACCTGGTTAGTGATAATAGAGGGTCTGGCTCTTTTGGGCATATGGGCCTTTGCCCTCCACATAATATTCCAGCCCATTATTTTGGGCTTGCCTTTTTTTATTTTATTTTAATTACCCTCTGATGGGGTTTATACAGATGTCTCCGAAAGATAAGAAAAATAAATCACATCATACAAAAACAAGAAAAGTAAATCACATCATTCTGGTAGGGTGTTTATTCCTTGCTTTTGCTTTCTCTTTTACTTTCTCTTTTGATTTTGCTTTTGTTTTCTCCTTTCTTTTTGCTTTTGTTTCTCCCACTCCTGTTCTTTCTCTTTTCTCTTTTGGCAGATGGCAGACAACGCCAAAGTGGAATAATGGTATTGTTGTAAGACAGCTTATCTGTATCTCTACTTTCATTATTGGCAGCGGACGGTGATTTCATCTTTTGCTTTTCTTGGTATCTCCATCAGCATCTGTTGAAGGTTTGGAGGAGGAAGTCCGGCCTTAATGTGCTTCGCTGGCCACAGAGGCGGAAAGGGTCGGCGGAAAAACCGGCTGAGGGTGGAAATGGCGCTCTCGCTCCGCGACGGGGACGACTTCTTGAGGTAATGGGCAGGGCTGGGATTGTAAAAGGAGTAGAAGACTTCGGCCCGCGACTGTCGACTGTGGGATTGCCACGGCTTTGATATGAACGTAATGATTATTTTAGTGGTCCCTACTGTTTGCCCGCTTCACTTGGAATTGTGCAAACTCGCTCGTACGATCATGTGCGGAGAATTGGAGAATCTGATGAATGTTGTTTTCTTGATCAAGCATGTAGCGCAAGTACCTGTTGTTTTTGTTTGATTTCAGCACAAAAGCGGTTCCAAGTTGACGACTGTGTACACATCCATATCGTTGTGGAGGTTGGGGGTGTTTCTCTCTGCAAAGAGGCACTGGTTGAAGTCGTTAACAGTGAATGGCGTCACAAAGTGCCCGAGTTGCACCTGGAGTAATTGGAAGACTGCCTTGTTGTCTGAATGGACAACCACAGGCTCGAATAATGTGCAAGACCAATGTTTTTTATCTTCCTCTGGTTCATTAGCTTAAGCGACAATCCAATACTGGTGATCGTTCGCCCTTCTTAAGTACTTGTTGTTGAAACAGCATTTGATATGCACGAGTCCTCCGTAACCGCTATCTGCCACTCCATTTGGAACTTTGCGTACTCGCTCTTAACATCCGCTTCGGATAGTTGCACAAGCCCATCAAGATTCTCGATACGTTGATGTATGTAGCACAAGTATTTTTTGTTGTTGTTTGATTTCAGTGCAAAAGACCTTGGTAGTATTGTTGCCTCTGTGATCGGTCCCCTAGTTTCTTCTCGATGGTGGGATTGCCAATGCTGTCGAATAATTTGGCTAGTCTTGACGCTCTCAATGACAGAGAACGCGCCGCCGATCAACGCCACCAGGAAGCAAGACCTTTTTTTGCTGAAGGTGCATAAATCTCTACTTAGATCAACTGAGCTTTTAGAGGTTATGAGAAATTTGAGGGTGGTTTTCTTGTTATTTTAGCTGCAGAGAGATCTGGAAATTGTAGTCGGCGCGCTTGCGCTCGTCGATTAGGATCTGGTAGGCCTCGGAGACCTGCTTGAATCTGACGGTGACTCTGTCTCTCTTCGCCTTGAGGGAGGTGGAGTGCTTGTCTAGGTGCAGCTTCACCGCCAGCTTCCTGAAACCCGGCCTGGAACCCGGCTTGTCTCGGGTTAACTTTGTCTTCCGCCACCTAGAACCCGGCCTTGATCAGGTCCTTGGCGTCGGTGCTGTCACCCGCCACCTTCTATAGGCTGCTCTGGCAGGTTTCTTTGTAGGTTGTGGGCTAGCATATGGTCTCGATGGTTTCTTTGTATTGCACTTGTCATAGGGTTCATTACTTTTGCCAATCTTTGAAAAATCATTGACCGTCCGATCCGACAAGAAACCCATCAATTCGGATTTCCAATCATACAAAAATCGAACGGATTGCGATGCATGCAGAGAATCTGAAAGCTTTTGTTTTAAGGCGAAAGGGATCAGAGATTTCCAGGAGATTGAATCAGGGCCATGGATGATGGATCTGATGATTGATTCTTTTTTTTTTTGGAGCTTTTGGTTTTGTGTTTTTATAGATTTTGCAGATTTTGCGGTAGAGGTGAAAAAATGAAAGAGAACCGACATAATTTTTTGCAAAAACACAAAACCAAAAGCTCCAAAAAAAAAAGAATCAATCATCAGATCCACCGTCCACGACCCTGATTTAATCTCCTGGAAATCTTCGATCCTTTTCGCCCCAAAACAAAAGCTTTCAGATTCTCTACATGCATCGCAATCCGTTCGATTTTTGTATGATTGGAAATCTGAATTGATGGGTTTCTTGTCGGATCGAACGGTCAACGATTCTTCAAAGATTGGCAAAAGTAATGAACCCTATGCCAAGTGCAATACAAAGAAACCATCGAGACCATATGCCAGCCCACAACCTACAAAGAAACCTGCCATAGCAGCCTCGAGAAGGTGGCGAGTGACAGCACAGACGCCAAGAACCTGATCAAGGTCGGGTTCCAGGTGGCGGAAGACAAAGTTAACCCGAGACAAGCCGGGTTTCAGGAAGCTGGCGGTGAAGCTGCACCCAGACAAGCACTCTGCCTCCCCCAAAGCGGATGGAGACAGAGCCACCGTCAGATTCAAGCAGGTCTCCGAGGACTACCAGATCCTCATCGACGAGCGCAAGCGCGCCGACTACAATTTCCAGATCTCTCTGCAGCTGAAACAACAAAAAAACCACCCTCAAATTTCCCACAGACGCCGCCAAATGTTGATGCACAAAACCGGAGAGGTCTTGGAACAACGTAAATCCGACCGTGAATCTGCAAGAAAGTAAATAACACAAGAAGTATCGTGGTTCACCCCAATGTTTGGGCTACGTCCACACTGATTGTATTTCTCTGTAAGAGCTTGATTGTGAGGGAGAGAGCATGAGAGAGCTTAGAGCTTAGGGGATGTGAGGAGGCTTCTGAGGGTGAGAGTGAGGCTCTCTCCAATTGTGAGGGTGAGGGGTCCTTTTATAGAATAAGGGCTCCTCACTTATTACATATTTGCCCATTCCTTTATTATATAATTACATTTAAGTCCCCCGAGTGTTTATACGAGGTCTAAATACGGAGACCCTAAGTATGGTACAAACAATACATTTAGGGAACTGTTATTAGCACTCCAAAAATCTTATTCTATACTTTACACATGTGTATTTTTCTTTCTAATTATAGAAAGTTTGGAGTGCCAAATGAGATTTTTGGAGTGCTAATAACAATTTTCTATATTTATATACATTTTATTTTAGTTTGGAAGTCAACTTCCTTTTTCTTTCTTTCTTTCTTTATCAAGTTGGGAGTATCACTGACTGTGACCCTGTGCAACTAGTTGTTGATTCATTTTGAATAATCAACATTATTTCTTACAATGTCTTAGACGTATGAATAACAGAAAGAAAACGGTCATGATACAAGCTAAATAAGAGTAGTACTAATTAGTAAACAACTTGTGCATGATGTTTGCTTATAACCAAGTGGCATGAAGGGACAAATATGTATGTTTCATGTATGACTTGGAATAGTATTAGTAAAGTCACATAGGCCAATCAACTTGTTGGTGAGTGGCCCTTTACCACAGTGGTGAAAAAGTGTTGTGCTCTTGCATGACGGTGTGGATTTGAATTGTGTTGGTGACTAATCTAACATCTAACTTACTAATGCTATCGATGTCCCTTCATACCACTTGGTTATAAGCAAACATCATGCATTTACTAATACTATTCCAAGTCATGCATGAAACATACACATTTGTCCCTTCATGCCAAGTCATGCAAAAATTATGAAAGCAAAAGAAATGAAAAACTTACTGTGAGATGAAGAGAACAAAAAGATTGAAGATGAAGAGAAGAAAATGATTGAAGATTGAAGATGAAGATTGAAGATTGAAGATTGAAGATGAAGATGAAGATTGTGGGTTGAAGATGAAGAAGAGAATGAAATCTGAAACTAAAAAACTTTTGGCATAAAAATAATAAACTAGTAAATTTTTGTCGGTTTTAACCGACAAAAAACTAAAATAATAACCGCCAAAATACTAAAATAATAAACTAGTAAATTTTTGTCGGTTATAACAGCTACCATGAACTTCAAAACCGCCAAAATATTAAAAAATATATTTTTTAAAAATATTCAAAATTCCTGGCGGTTATAAAAATTTTGTGTCGGTTTAATCAGACAGTAAATATCCGCAAGTAATTACTGTCGGTTATATGCGACAGAAATTTACTTTTATCCGACACTAACTAAATTATGTGTCGGATATCTTTTATCCTACAGAAGTACTCGTTAACCGCCACCATCATCCGACACTTAAAACTAATATTGTAATAGTATCCCTTACATAAATATCCTTAAAATATTTAAAGAGGGCTAAATCTTTTGTCTAGAAAATTGAAATGGTTTAAGTGAAAAAATCTTGAAAAAGTGAGTAAAAAAAAAAGTAGTATTAATTTTTTTTTTATAAACAAAAGCAGGTGGGCCTAGAACTATTGTGGTTCTATAGTCCCTCTACCGTTGCTTGGAGGGCAGACAATCCTTGTCCACTGAAATTCTTCAAGAATTGTAGGCTAATTAGGTAAAACAACATATTCAAATGATAATTGACAGAAAAATGTCTCTTTGTATTCCATATAACAGTGTTACAAATTTAAAACTATGAAATATAAAAGAATAAATGAATCCACACAAAATAATAAATTGACAACCAAAAGTCTTAAACACCCCCACTCTACATAAAAATTGCCCAATTGACAATTCTTAATCTTCATTTAGAATAAACCAACAAAATATCATTCGAACCAGAGATCGTTTAGTCATTAAAATATATCAAATAAATCAATAATGTAAGTATCAAAAAGCATATTTATAATGAACGTTGACTTATTTGATACATTTGAATGATTAAATGATCTCCAATTTGAATGATTTTTCGTAGCGACGAAAGTAACAGATTAAACGGTTTTGATCATGAAATTTTTATGGTAAAAATACGTTATTTGTAAGTGGTGGAATGAGCTCATCCTTGCATAAATAAAATAGCATTATCCTTTTTATAATACTTTGAGCTCTAAGTTAATTGGTATTTTTCTTCTTCTAATGGTAAAAAGATGTTTCGAATTTGGCAATTCGATTGTTCTAATGATTCTACAATTTTCGGTTGCCAAACAATTATAGGCCTATTGAAAAATGGGTATATACGTGCTATATATAATAAGTTTATAGCAAGATTTATTTTTGGATTGCCGGTTTAGAGTTAAATTGGCTTCGGCTGAGAAATGAAAATAATCCAAGTTCATAACTTAGGGCATCGAAAAAGCACTTTGGCTAAAGAGAGATGCTTCTAAGTGCTTTTACTACCTAAGAAACTTTTGTTTCGAACATTTTCATAATTCATAAACAAGAAAATTGTAGCAATGATGATTTAACTTTAATTCAATTGGAGTAATAGTCTTTCAAGTGAAAATCAATGACCATTGGTCTCTTAACTTATCAAAACGTGTAATTATAGTCATTTTTGTTAATTCCGTTAGAAATTCGTCAAAATGAGTTTTGTTGAAATGACCATTGCTACACTTGGGTTAAAGTTGAGGGACCATTGCTCCAACTGAGTTTAAGTTGAAGTTGAGAGATCATTGCTTTAATTGGATTAAAGTTGAGAGGTTATTGCTCTAATTGGATTAAAGTTGATGAACCATTATTATAATTTCCTCTTCATAAACGTTCTTTATTTATTATGTGAAAGGACTTTTTTGAAAAGCACTCCCAAACAGCTTTAGAATTTTCCAGGTCGACGGACGGACGGACCGAGGATCCACTCCAACAACATCGATATTATTTCCACTTTACCACCTAGTCAATCCTCATGTGTAAGATTTTATTACAAAAAGCCTTGCTATTAATTATAGTAAGATAATTCTATTTAGGGTAAAAGACTGTTTACCACCCTCATGTTTCATGGTTTTCAACATTTAGTACATCAAGTTTTTTTCGTTCCAGAGTCATACATAAAGTGTAAATTTTGGGACAATCTCATACATCTGTTAGTCAAACTGTTAGTTCTCCTGTTAAGTGATGACGTGGCGCCCTGATTGGACGCCACGTGTCATTAAAAAAATAAAAAATGTATTTAAATAAAAATAATATTAAAATATATTAAAATATTAAAATATTAAAATAATAATAAAATATTTTTTTTCTTCTTCTCTTAATAAAATATATATTTTTTCTTCTTCTCTTTTTTTTTTTTTTTTTTTTTTCTTCTTCTTCTTCTTCTGGGTTCGGTTTTTTTTTTTTTTTTTTTTTTTCCTTCTTTCTCCTCCTCCTCCTCCTCCTTTTTCTTCCTTCTCCTTCCTCCTCCTTCTTCTTCTCCTTCTTCTTCTTCTTCTGGGTTCGGTTTCTCTCTTCTTCTTCTTTTCTTCTTCTTCTTCTTCCTCCTCTTTCTCCTTCTTCCTTCTCTTTCCTCCTCCTTCTTCTTCTCCTTCTTCTTCTTCTGGGTTCAGTTTCTCTTTTTTTTTTTTTTTTTTCCTTCTTCCTCCTCCTTCTCCTTCTTCTTCCTTCTCATTCCTCCTCCTTCTTCTTCTTCCTTCTCCTTCCTTCTCATTCTTCTTCTCCTTCTTCTTCCTTCTTCTTCCTCTTCTTTTCTGGGTTCGGTTTTTTTTTTTTTCTATTTTTTTCCTTCTCCTTCATTCTTAAGAAGGAAGAAGAAGGAGAAGAAGAATGAGGAGGAAGGAGAAGGAAGAAGAAGGAAGAAGAAGAAAAAAAAAAAAAAAAAAAAGAGAACCGAACCCAGAAGAAGAAGAAAAAAAAAGAAGAGAAAAGGAAAAAAAATATTTTTTTATTTAAATATTTATTTAAATATTTTTTAATATTATTTTTATTTAAATAATTTTTTTTTAATGACACGTGGCGTCCAATCAGGGCGCCACGTCATCACTTAATTGGAGAACTAACAGTTTGACTAACAAATATATGAGACTGTCCCAAAATTTACACTTTAGGTATGACTCTGTGACGAAAAAAACTTGATGTACAAAAGGTTGAAAATCACGAAACACGAACGAGGGTAGTAAACAGTCTTTTACCTTTCTATTTAAATTGCTTTCTCTTGGGCACTCGTACCCAGTGTCCTATTAGCCAATTACAGAGGTGACAACAGCTGGTGCCGAATGCCAACGAGATAGCTTTGTAGGCAACAAAACCATACTGAAATTCTTCAAGAATTGTAGGCTAATTAGGTAAAACAACATATTCAAATGATAATTGACAGATAAAATGTCTCCTTGTATTCCATATAACAGTGTTACAAATTTAAAACTATGAAATATAAAAGAATAAATGAATCCACACAAAATAATAAATTGACAACCAAAAGTCTTAAACACCCCCACTCTACATAACAATGACTGCAGCGAAAACCCCAACGGCTAGAGCTCCGGCGGCGGAGAACTGATTCAAAACGGCACCATTGGCAGGAACTGGAGCCTCGGAGGGAGATCCAGAAACTGAAGAGGGAACAGTCGCCGGGGACGACGATGGGAGAGAAGGTGGGGAGTCGGCGACGGGAGATGAGGAAGGCGAAGCCGATGGTGCAATGCTCGATGGAGAAGGAGCGGCGGCCGTAGGTGGAGTGCTCGAAGGAGAAGGAGCGGCGGCCATAGGTGGAGTGCTCGACGGAGAAGGAGCGGCGGGAGCTTGTTTGGGAGAAAGCGCAGGAGACTTGGCCGGAGACGATGCAGGGGATTGCGCCCCCGTCGAGGCCAGCAAGAGGGAAGCCGTTAGGACCAAAACGACGCCGCTGAATCGGGCCATTTGTAGAGAGAGAAACTTGAACAGAGATTTAGAGAGAGAGACAGAGAGAGAGGAATCTAGTGAGGGTCTGAGAGTTGAGAGGCGAGTTGCTGATGGGATTTAAGGAGTGGAGATCGGGGGTTTATATAGAGGGAGGGGGAGGAGACGCGTGGCGTGTAGAATACCGTTGGACGGTGGAGATTTTCTTGCTGTGATGATTGAAAGTCGGTAAAGAGAACGTGTGACCAACTCGGAGGCGTGGTTGTTTAGAGGACTGGTCTGGTTTTTTTTTAATGGCCGTTGGATGTACGCTTTACAGCGTGTAACGGTTAATTTTCCGACGGTGCAGATGGTAGGTTATCTGGGAGATTTGCTTCTTTTTTTTCTTTTTACTTTATGTTTGTCGGACTTTTCTTTTTACTTTTGAAATCTTTTTTCTTTTCTTTTCTTTTCTGGCACTCCCAGATTGTTTTATTAAAGCAAACGGATCCTTTCTTTCAATTTCAAGTGCTAGCCACGGTCCACATCAAGTGGTCCAGCAGTAAGGATGTGTATACTGCGGTTCTTTAAAAAACAAAAAAAATGTGAAAAGTTTCGAGTTCAATGCTTCCAGTTGGTGAGTTTGCTTAATTATGGCTATGGATAAAGTAAAATTTCACATAGCTTCTTTGGACCGGAAAGAGGTGAATAATCGTTATTTACCATCGATTGTCTTGTTTTTTTAACAAAAAAAAAATCAATTTCAAGTGCCAGAGTGGACAATTGGAGATAGGGCGTGTTGGCTAAGATTATAATTTTTTTATCGTACCAAATTGTAATTTTATTGTATATAAAAAAAATAAACGGTTAAATAATTTTGAATTTGTTTGGTTTATGTAAAATTAAAATGAACCGTTTTTACAATTAAGCAAATATATCACTTTGAGGTAACTAGGGATAGTTTGATATTGTTGTGCTTTGAAAAAAAACCGATTATGTTGTGCTGTGAGAATAAGCAACTGTGAAATAAAGCAACAGAGTGTTTGGTAAACATTTTTGTAAAAGTGTATTATAGTGTTTGGTAAACTTTGATGTAAAACAATTATGATTGTGTGAAATGACCAAAAAGGGTATAATACTAGATATGTCATTAATTTAATTTTCTTAACAAATAAAGGTGAATTACTAAATGTACTTTATTTTTATCTTAAATATTAATTAGTATGATAAACTACTTCAATTGAAATATTTACTGTTTGGACCCAAATTTACATCATCGGCCTGTGTAATCAAGGCCGTTGAGGGAGTATAGTTCTTAACCTTTGGATGGAAAAGTGGAGATAATTTTTGTTATTGTTAAAGGATAATATTATGATTTTTATCATAATAATTATATTTTAATAAGAATTATCTTAGCATCTTTTTCAACCAGATAAATAGGATGCGAATTATATCCCAAACAAGCAGTAGAGTTCGAATTGATTTGGGATGTCTGACGGCACTTGGAAGCTAAAAATGAATTTGAAATTCATTTAGATAGGTTCAAGATGCATGCGACAATAAAGATGATGGATTTGGATGATGATGAGATAAGCCTAGGTAGACTAGGCCTTTTTGCATAATGATGATGTTGTCATATGGGTTTAAAAGCCACTGATGGAGTTTTGATGATGAGATAAGAAGCCTAGGTGAGTTAGGCCTCTAATGTGATGTGACCAAGCTTAGATAGGCTTTATTTTGTTTGAAAAGTCATGAAATCTGAAGGTTCACATGGATCAATTTCAGTTTCATAAAGTTAGAGTTACAGTTAGACTCTACAAAGCTTTCAGGCTGTGCCAGGCAAAGGACAGCCACTATAAATACAGAGTCGCATGCAACATTGAAGGCCCCCAACTCAACACAAAAACTGCCCTGCGCAAACTCTCACTCTACGCGAAACCTCTCAACAACCTTGAGATTTTTATTTTCTTTTTCGCTAACATGCTTTCAGTTTGGATAAACAACACTGTGAATGCAACTGGCGAACACCTTTAGTTTGGATAAACATCATTGTTGCCGTAGAATCAGCTAACCGCGAAGCACCTTCAGTTTGGATAAACAACACTGCGTCGAGGCCGACTGATTATCTATCCAAGTCTTTGTCAAGAAGGATTTCCGAATCCTTATTGGCAGAGGTCATCTCATTAGCCTTCTCGGCGAAGTGAGGTGTTACAGGTTACTACATTCGGCATGTTGAAAGCCAAATTTGATATTGAACTTCACGGAACTAGTAGCCTTGTTTTCAGGCTCTAGAACTCGAAGGCCGAGACGTGTTCTTTTCTCGGCCGCAGTCGCAAGATCAAGAAGTCAGCAGTGCGCTCAACACAACATCAACTCATTTAACTCACCGGTCGAGCTTGACCGTCAAGTTGCCTCGCACACAACCAAATGACGTAGTTAGCTCATTAGTTATTCGGCCTACGCGTCACGTAGGTTTGGTAGTTTTTAGGGTCAACATTTACACACTCAATGATGAGTGTTGAAGTCCTATTAGATTAGGAACGTGATTGTGTTAATCCTAGTAGATATAGGAATATCTCTTATATTCCTATTAGGAGTTGATTACCTATTAAGAGTTGTAATCCTAAAAGGGTAAGAATTTTACCTATCCTACTACTATAAATAAAAGCACAATGCGATGAAATATAACACACCTGACAATTACACATCTCTCTTTCTCTCTACAATTGCCGCATCATCCTTCTCTCTAAGGCTCCATAATTGTTTAGTAAATTAAGCCTACAACAATATCACAATTTTTTATTATTTTTATTATGTAATATAACAATATTTTTTATTTTTACTTTATTTATAATCTGAATCTTTCTAGAACTCTCCTCTCCCTCAATTCCTCCGACTTGTTTTCCGTCTACTTCATCTTCATTTACCAAAAAAATGGCATCTTTCATTTACCCAGAATGTTAATTCTTCATTCCCTCCATCCGCAATATAGAAATGGCGAATTCTCTAACTAAAAATTGGGTTTTGGGTGAGGTTCGGTGGGATGGGGAGGTCATGCCACTCCAACCCCAATTCCTTCATCATTACGTGTCTCTCCCAAGCAACCATCCTCCCTGTCTCTCCCCACCCACTCTCTCTATCCTGCAACACTAGGGGTGGGCACTGTCCGGTTCGGCCCGGTTTCACCCTCAAAATGGAACCGAAATCAGAAAATTTCAACGGTTCAGTTTGGTGCGGTTTCATTTAAATTTATTACTTAAACCATACAGTTCAGTTCATGCCGGTTTACGGTTCTAATCAAAATTATATATATGTTTTTTCTAATTTTCTACTTCTAATACCAAACACATATTTCAACCACAAATTCAAGTAATTTTGAGTTTCCAATACTAGATCTACAAGTTTTGTGATCGGAAGATAGAAAGTGTGCATATAAATATAAATCAAAAGATAGAAAGGCTCATATCAAGATCAAAGTGTAGATCTTAAACTAAAACTAAAATGTTCATAATGCATAATATACTGGAAAATAATGGAGAAAAATAATGTAGGGGGAGAAAAGTGATAAAACAACAAAGGAGGGGGGGGAGAAGTGAAGAAAAATATTGGGCTTATGCACATGGTCTTCTTGGAAAAATGTCTTATCTCTACTAATTAATAAAACTCTCTTTGTCAACCAAAAGATGGTGAAAAGACAAATTAGTCATCTATCACAAAAAATAATAATAATAATAATAATGGGCAATAATGTAATTTCACAAGTCCAAATTTTACTATTTTTTATTGAAACTTCACCTACATGTGATGTTAAAATACCTCTATTATTAGAAAAAAAAAAACTAAAAACAAAAACCTTTCACTCCCCCACGTTCTTTATCTCTCCCTTTCTCCTTCTCATTTTCTCTAAAAAATGTGTTCATACACACAAACTGTGTAGGCAAATGCTAATTTATATAAAAATAATAATAAAACAATCATTTATATTAAAAGCGGTTCGGTTTTTGTTCCAGTTTTGACTTTTTTGATCAACGCGGTTTTTTACCATTTTTTTTGTCACTGTTCAATTCGGTTTTCCGGTTTGGAGGTTTTTATGCCCACCCCTATGCAACATACTGAACCAAATTCAATTTGTTACCAACCCTTTATCCTTTCCCTACTTAATACAAAAACAGAAACCTAATTCAAATACTTCATTGTCGCAGCTCTTTCTCGGCACATTCGTTAAAATTTAGATAAGTTCAATTGTGGGTATTTGAAATATATCAATATTTAGCTTGAATTTATCGAATTGGATTCTGGGTACCTCAACTTTTCAGCTATGCTAGGTTTAGGAGGAGATTGGGTCAAGAGGATAGGTCGGGGTTCAAAAAGGGATTGAAATCAAATTATATAGGAGTTTTGATGTGGCAAGAGGTGGAGGCTTTAGCTGGGAATGAAGTTTCAAGTTGGGGATTGGGTTTGGGGCGTCGAGTTGGGAGTGAATGAGTGAGACGAGAGGGAGAGAACCAGTGAGATGGCAGAGCAAGGAAGAGGACAACGCGAGAGGTGAGGGTAGGATCGGCATTTGCAAACTTTCATTAAACATTAATGTTCACCCGTGTTTCTAAGATAAAAAGTTGGTTTTTGAAAGCAGCAAATAGCTGTTTCTCGCAGCAATTTTGAAACAAGTGTTTTATTGCTAAGTTACCAAACACAATATTGAGCTCAACTTTTTTTCATCCCTGCTTTTAAAAAAATTTAAGCACTACCAGGCTTTAGCCCAAGTGAGATAAAAGAAAAAAAAAACGAGTAGTAATTCAATTGTGAGAAGACTCAGTGCTTCACATGTTTCACTTAGTTTAGGGGTTTAAATTAGGGTATTGTTGACCTATTTTACATATTTTCATTAGTTTATATCGTATTTTTTATGTCTATTGTTTATGTTCGTTTCTTGTTTTTGTTGTATTTTTTATTTATAAATTTTAACGGAAAGGGACTACGTTTATTCTGTCATTTCTTACCAATTTTTTTTATTCAAAAGCTAGTTTTAGGATGCGGCAAAGATAGTGGCAAAAACTCCCTAGCACAACCAAACTGGGCGGCATAAGATCGGTGCGAAGGATTAAAACCTTCTCGGCCTCAATTCACTATGTACATATGGTTCCAATTTGAAATTAACATGCAGTTTCGATTAGGCTCAAGAAGTTCCTCGAACACACAGTCAAAAACAGAAGTTACTTGGATGAATCATGAATGTAGGGATAATTTGGTGATAACACACTGAAATAATAATCGGAAAAATGTATCTTTATATATTCTCATATAACAGCGCTACAAATTTATAAATTGTGAAACATAAATGAATAAATGAATTTAGTACAATAATAAATGGAAATTCAAAAGTCCATAAACACCCCCACTCTACATAACAATGAGTGCAGCGAAAACTCCAACAGCTAGAGCTCCGGCGGCGGAGAACCGATTCAAAACGGCACCGTTAGCAGGAGCGGGAGCCTCGGAGGGAGATCCAGAACCTGAAGAGGGAACAGTCGCCGCCGCGGGAGACGACGGTGGGGGAGAAGGTGGAGAGTCGGCGACGGGAGATGTGGAAGGAGAAGCCGATGGTGAAGTGGTCGATGGAGAAGGAGCGGCCGTAGGTGGAGTGCTCGACGGAGAAGGGGCGGCGGGAGATTTTTTGGGAGAAAGTGCGGGAGACTTGGCTGGTGACGATGCAGGGGATTGCGCCCCGGTCGAGGCCAGCAGGAGAGAAGCCATTAGCACCATAACGACGCCGCTGAATCGAGCCATTGTAGAGAGAGAAAGAGAGAACTCAAACAAAGACTTAGAGAGAGAGAGAGGAAGTAAGTGAGGGTTTGGGAATTGAGAGACGACCGAGTGAATGATGGGTTTAAGCAGAAGGGTTGGGGGTTTATATATAGGAGGGCGGAGGACACGTGGCTTGAAGAATACCGTTGGACGGTGGAGATGTTCTGGCTGTGATGATTGAAAAGTCGGGTTGGAAAACGTGTTAACAAACTGAGAGCCAAAACGCGCTTTGTTTTATCGGGCTGGTGTTTTGACCGTTGGATGTGTACGTTAGCCGACAACGGTTAGATTTTCTACGGTGGAGGTGGTAGGTAATCTGCCGGATTCGCTTTTTTACTTTCTTTTCTGGCAGCACAGATTATAATTGAAGTGCAGAGATTCGAAAATTGGAAGCTAAGAAACGGGTATTGACTGCTACAATTGTTATTTTTATTTTGCACATTAAGAAATAAAATTTGTTTATTTAGTTATAGGATTTAATTGGATGCACACGATCAATGAATTCGATTTATTTAAGTTCATTCACTATATTTTTGTACTACATTTAATAACGTATGATGTGACGTACTTAATTGATATCAAACATAATGAAATAGAATTCTTGATTAAATTATAAGTCACTTGTCATATCGTGTGATTTAAAAATGCTATCTGACTAGTAGTAGTGTTATATTTGTAGAAGAACAATGTTTAGCTACTCAAAAGACGAGTAGGAGTTCCTACTCAAAATTGTTCATTGTTGTTTCAAAGAACTTTGTGTATATAATTTGAACCGTTCATATTATAAATCACTCTACAAAGATCGCCTATGCATAAAATCAATTAAAACTAAAGTTCCTTAGTCATTGAATTGTATAAAAATAAATGAACGGTACTCGTAAAAGCATTACTGACTCTGTGTATTTGCAACAATATATTGACTAAACGACCTTAGTTTTAATTCATTTTTTTACATAAATGATTTTTACAAAGTGACTCATAATATGAACGGTTTTTATCATGAGCACAAAGCTTTGTAACTCGAACACGAATAATTTTGAATCATTCCCGCAGGAGGTCCAACTCCCTTTTTTTTTTCTTCTGATTCTACGATAAAAAGATTCATTCTCTTCATAAAAAAAATAGGAGGTAAAACCAATAACTATTTCTTAAGGAGTTCCTACTCATCCTTATGTAGTCAACAATTATTTTTTTGTAAAATATGTAGTGTCGGAGCATGAAAGAAAAATTAAAATTGTTTGAGTAGAGAATAAAATCTGCTCTATTTGACCCGCCGAATAACCAGGCCTTCATGGGTGGACTTGAGCCTAATGATTGAATGATTTGGATGAAGAAATGCATCAGGCTTATGTCAAGTTGAATGTGGATGACGGTAGGAAGAGTGGCAAGGGGTGCTCCAGTGCTGGTGGGATTTTACGTGCTGCTGTAGGTGTGTGTATAGGGATGGGCAAAATATCCATGGGTATGGGTAACCGCGGTTACCCGTCAATTTAAAGTTAATGGTTATGGTTATGGGTAACCGTTTAAACAAATAAACGGTTATGGGTATAACCGTTTATCCATGAAATTTAAATGGACGGTTATGGGTATTATCCGCGGTTATAACGGGTATCCATTGGTTATGGGTAATATTCATGGTTATAACGGGTATCCATTTACCTATTTAATTTAATATATGTAAAGTTAAAAAAAAAAATTAAAAACCTCAGAGTTACAACTTACAACTCCGTCACTCTCTTTCTCCGCTTCTCGACTTCGTCACTCTCTCTCTCCGTCGCTCTCTCCGTCTCTCTCTCTCTCTCCGTCCGTCACTCTCTCTCTCCATCGCTCTCTCTCCATCGCTCTCTCCGTCGCTCTCTCTCTCCGTCACTCTCTCTCTCCGTCGCTCTCTCTTTGCGCCTCTCTCCGTCGCTCTCTCTCTGCGCCTCTCTCTCCGTCGCTCTCTCTCTGCGCCTCTCGACTTCGACTCGACCAGGCGACCTCACTCAGACAACCTCACCACCCTCAGACAACTCCTCACCTCAGAATTCGGGACATCAGGTAAATTTAATTTAGGGTTTGAGATTTTGGAAATGTACTACTGAATTTAGTTCTAGGGTTTGAGATTTTGGTTCTCCAGTTTGTATATTTGCTATGTATTACTGAATTTAGTAGAGTAATTATGTGCTCACATATCTTTATTCAACTCTTATTACTCTACAGGCTTTTAAATTTTGCCTATGACTATTTGGTATTGTTTTGTTTGAATGAAATGTAGCATATGAACTTTCTGTTTATTAATATTATTATCATTGATATCATTTGGTTTCTGGTGTTTGGGTGAAGAATGTGGGTGAGACCGTTTATATAATGTGAGATTAGTTTAATTCAGTTAAGAAGTCAGGGGTTAGCTTGTACTCTGGAGCCAAGTATTCATCATAGGTGGGGATGGAGGAGTTTGTGTGCAGCTACCATATAGGGTAGTTGACTCATATAGCACCTTCTTGTATGAGCCATATCAAATCCTCTCAATCTGTTGATGTTCGATTGAGGAGATTTGTTTGTTGCTAGATTCACATTTTGCATGTCATCTTAGTCTTATTCATATCACAGGTGCCACAAGTGAAGATCTCGAGCTAAAGTTGCCACCATTGTGAAGATCAATCCTTGTGTATAAGCTGCTCCTTTAGTATAACTTGGAATTTAAGTTTTTGTGCGTGCGATTCTCTGTATGAACTTGTTTTCTACCAGTGGATGGAGATCCCTAGAGTTTTTGTGCGTGTGATTCTCTGTATGAAATTTTCAGGTACAATCCTTGTGTGTGACTAACACCTCTTTTAACCTTAACCGTTGTTGGAAATATTTAGTTAAATGATTTTTTTAATCTTGGATGTATATCATAATGCAGAGTTCATTTGTCTTTGACGTCTGTATGGTTTGTTCATGCTTGACTGTGATATTGTGACTAGTCAAGTTCATGTCTGTTATTAAGTGGCTTGAGTCTGACCATGTTGAAGTTAAGTTAATGGCAACAAAGATGTCAATCAAGTTTGAAAAGTATTGGCATAAAATTCATGGTGCTATGGCAATTGCAGCTATTCTGGATCCAAGGTTCAAGATGAAATTGATCGAGTATTATTTTCCTCTTATTTATAAAGAGAATGCTCCATCAGAAATTGAGAAAGTCTTTGACTTGGCTGTTAAGTTGGTCAAAGAGTATGAATTGAAGCATAGACCTGGTCATCGGTCTTCTGAATCTTCTTCTTCGACTGATTTTCCATCACAGTCATTTGATTTCAGAGTTGGTGATCCTTTACCATCTTATGACCAGTTTGTTATGGATTCTACCATCGGTAATGAACAATCTGACTTAGACCTATATTTGGGGGAGAAAGTCTTGCCTAGGACTCAAGATTTTGATATATTGTCGTGGTGGAAGACAAATGGGATTAAATATCCTATTTTGCATAAGATAGCTCGAGATATTTGGGCTATTCCTGTATTATTAGTCCACACCGTAGCCGACTTCATTCAAGCACAGTGGAAGCACTCATGTGTTCTCGAGACTGGTTGTGGTAGCCGACTTACTGTAAAATTTCATATAAATTATGTATATGTTCAAAATTTTACTATTTTAGCCTAATTTTAATTTTTATTATTGAACCAGATTCAAACTCTACTCGTGTTGAAGATTCTTCATTCGGTGATGATACTGATGTGAATGTGGTAAAAACTAATCTTTATTTTTATTTTTTACTTTGGAGTTATTGGTGATGCTCATTCAATTTATGCATACTAATTCAATTATACATTTCTTTTGTAGGCCTCTTTTGGTGACAACGAGTCGATGATACTTTGTGATTGAACGTGTTCGAAACACAGATTTCAATTAGATGAAATTATATGAAATAATAGAGGGTTAACTCAGTTTTGTGATGAATTAGATGAAATTTGGTTGGTTTCGTATGGTTGTTTTTTGTTATCAGAAACACAGATTTATGAGCTGTTGCTAAAAGGTTTGTTGCTTTAAAAATCATTCGGGAATTCAGAAATAAAAAAGCTCTACTTTTACTCTTCCTTTAGGCTCAATTTTCTCAGGTTCCTGAACTTCCATATTTTATTGGTTGCTATACAGAATAAAAAAAATTGATTGGTTGCTTTACAGAAAAATATCGTTCGGAAACTATTATTTCAATTATTGGAATTATACGAGGACTTAAATGATTAAAATAGGGAAATGTATGCTAAAATGTACTTATAACGGTGTTTAATTGTCAAAAAATAAAAATTATGACAAATTTTTCTTTTGTAATTTTCAAATTGTTAAAAAAATTATGTAGACGGGAGAAAAAAAAGGGTAAATGGGTAAAAAAAGGATAAACGGGCGAAAAAATGGGTAAATGGGTAAATGGTTATAGTTATGGTTAAATGGGTAAATGATTATGGGTAAATGGGTACACGGTTATGGGTATGGATAACCGTTTATAAACGGTTATGGTTATGGGTATAACCATTTATGTAATTACCCAACGGGTAAACGGTTATGCGGGTATGAACATAAACGGTTATGGGTAAAATAACCGCGGTTACCCGCCCGCATAACCATTGCCCATCCCTATGTGTGTATTGTTGGTTTCAGTATAAATATTGGTGTGGGGAGTGTGCTTAATGCTGAGTTATGGGGTCTTTTTCATGACCTGACTCTTGCTTGGAGATTGGGTTATAGAAAAGTGCTTGTTGAATTGGACTTCACTGTGACTATTACTTTAATAATGGATTTTAATTCCTCTATGCACCCTCTTGCTCATGTCATTTTGCCGGGAGTTATTGCGCAAGGATTGTATTCGCTCGGTTTCACATGTTTATCGTGAGAAGAATAGAGTGGCTGATGGTATGGCAGATTTAGGCCATAAGTTTGACATTGGTCTTCATGTTTTTTAAGAGCCTTCTCCTCTTGTGGATAGGTTGATCTTTGAGGATGCCGTTGGGTTTCCTCATACCCGTTTTGTTAATAGTTAGTTGTTTTTCTTGGGTTTTTGACCCCCAATTTTACCAAAAAAAAGAAATGCATCAGGCTTAGGCCGGCCCAATCATAAAATGTAAATGACTGTAACAATGGGGGGATGAAAACTGCATTTTCGATATATATCGTTTGTATTCCTTTTTCTAAATCTCTAGAATTTTGCATCCGGCCGATGACTTGATGAACACGAAACCTGTTACAACTTACAATCGATCGGAGTTCCTGCAAGAGTGTCATGACTCGCAAGATGCTTAACTCGAATCGATGAAAGCTAGTTTCCAACAGAAGTGTATCTGTAAGCTATTCCAATCAAGGATTGGGCTTTAATACTAACAGGAACGATGTTTAGCACAAACTACATGACACCATTAACCTCACACAAGCCCTCTAATAATTACATAATCTCTTTTCTCCTTCCTTTCAGTTGAAGCAAAGTTCATACTGCAACTACGGAATAAAGATGTACATCGATCCTAGAATTCTCAAATGCAGTATGCCGGTACAATTGCTGGTCGATAGACGAAAGTTTTAACGGTGTGAGAATAGCCGGATGGGTGACTGTAAGTGAACTTTACGCCTGAGCTACCACCCCCGAGATGAGTGCAGTGCTCATGGAAGCTGCTGATAGGTCGTGCCAGGCATGCATCCCACCTGTCACTCTCGGGCATTGTCTCCGCCACCGTATATACCCCCTTATCATTCGTGAATGCCTGGTAATTTAGAACTTCCCCTGATTTTGTAATGCACAGTACAGCTACCTCAGCACCTGCATCATAATGAATCAAAGCTCAAAATTATTCACTTCACCCTTCAACGTTGTAAATGCACCCCAGATGACGGTTAAAAGCTTAAACGCCCACTATACCATTTTAACTTCATTACCAGATTCAAATGATAAAAATCACCGAAAGATCTTGTGGATGTGGACTTATCACAGTTCATGTAGCAGGTGGACACAAAAACTAATAGACGGAATCACCCAACAAAAAGGTTTTAGAAAAGCACATTCGGACGAATAAACTACATCTTGTTTTCATGGTTTATAGATTAAAAGTTGCTTTCTAAAATATAAACTGTATCAGAGTCATGAAAAGAAAAAACCCGACTTGTAAGTTGTGTTTGTGAGGATATCCTAATGCTTTAAAGGGTCGAACTTCATCCAACAAGATCAACCTCAAGATCAAGTGTAAAATGCAGGCATGAACATGATGAAATAGCAGTTATGTCAAGTTTTTTTCTACTAATTGGACGACCAATTGAGCAAGTTTCTATGTAGAAAGGTAGAGAGGTCCCCACAAATCGCTTAAATCTCATGTTCGACCATTGGAAATGGAACCTAGAATCCATGTACCAGGATGTCAAAACATTTTCTATTAGATTGCTACTGAAATTTTTCAACCACAATATTTTCTCTAAAGATAAGCAAGGCTTTAACATGTTTCCAACTGAGCAAAATATTCGCCAATTCCAATAAAAATTCAAATATCATGGTCGTCCTACCTATTTAGCAAATGTTAAATGCAATTTTGGATTTCTAGGCAATTTTTATGCCTTTTTTAAGTACATGAATCACCACGTCTTGATTATCACACGGTATTCTTGATGAAATAGGAATGCATAGAAATCAAATTGTTCAAGTATAAGAATGGTATGAGAGCGATTTTGGAATGGTACAAGACCTGGTTGAAATTGGTGATGGAACACATACTCTCAACGTGCGATCCACCTACTTTTTCATTCTTTGTGTGTTAGTAAATGCATGATATGTCAGGACTCAGGAATGAGAATGATACCATCCCTTTCATTCCCATTTCTAGGAAGTAAACATGCCATTAGGCGACGAATTCAAATTGGAATATGAAAAGACTTTGTGCAGTAAAATGACAGAAATCATTGTTCTACTCGGTGTGATCTAAATTTACTTGTAAAGATTTGCTATCGTTCTAAGGACTAGGCGAAAACCTGAAATTCTTATACATCTTCGTATCTAGGATGCGAAAAGTATTCCAAACCCGTTAATCATACAGCTCAAACTAAGACCATTAAAAACACAAACCAATGCAGAACAATACAATTACAAAAAATCAGACTGGCAAAATAATCAAACAACAATACCAAGCAATTTTCAATTTTTCAAAATTCTCAGAAAAATCATGTCACTGTAATCTAATAACGCTCTTAAACAAGCTGGCAAAACACATCCGAAAAACATCAATTGGAAAAATGAACCATTTATATGATCGCCCACAACCCATCAAAATTACAGCCTAATTACTCAAACAGATGAACGAGAAATGATCAAAAACTACCAACCCATAAAAATCACAAGCGAAAGATAAAAACCCAGCTCAGAATTTTCACAAATAACAAATAATCATAAAAATAAATAAATGGGTAATCGGCGGGTTGAGCAAAGAGAGTGAGAAGCTGACCTTCTAGAACATGATCTTCGGGTCCGATGGCGGAGTCGCCACAGACATCGCAAACAACTCTGCCGTGGATTTCACCAGTCCAGGCTCCGACGCCGGAGATCAAGACTGTGAAGAGAACAAGTGCCACGGCCACCGCCAGCTCCTTCTTCATCGTCTGCGCTTCCATGGCTCTGCTATCTCTCCTCTTTCGGGTTCGAAACGCCCACAACTCACTGTTTCTTCGAAATATGCGTACGCAAATGTGCGAGTACTCTTTGACTCTGTCCCACTGGGCCCGACTTCTCTGTTGTTGCGGGACCTACTGTTCCTTTTGCTTTGTTTGGCTTTAGTGTCGGTAGAGTTTGGAACTGAAGGTAGGTGTATTGGTCTCCTTCATTTGTTTATCAAAGGGTCCGTTTGATACCCTTTTTTTTTCGGAATACAAGGGGGTGTATTCAATTGAGATTCTGGGAGAGTTTCAGGGAATTAATAATTCTAGGGGTATTCAATTAGGAATTTAAAAGACTTCATAAAAGTTTAGGTGTATTCAATTGAGAATTCTAAACACTTTTTAAAAGTCTCTAGAAATATAGGTGTATTCAATTGAGATTTCTAGAGACTTTTTAAAAATTCCTATAAATCTAGGTGTATTCAATTGTGATTTTTTCAAAGTCTCTAAAAATTTAGGTGTATTGGAAAACGAATTGAATTTGAAGGAATTTGTGAATTGGTGGATTTTGGAGGATTTCAAGGTGAAACCTATAAATACCAAAGAGCCTGTGAAATCTCACCTCACCCCTAGAAATTTTGAGCGACTTTGTGGGTTGCTCATTCTCTCTAGAGACGGCGCCTGCTCCAAAAACAAGCTTGAAGGTAAACTGTTCACCTTGTACATGTTTTCTTCAGATTTTTCTTGTTTGGATACTGTGTAATCTCGTTCTAGGGTTAGGGTTTTCTAGTCTAGGATTTATCAGGATTTGAATATGGGTTTGGGTTTATGATTTCGTGCTTTGTTGAATATGCATGTGGGTTTACGACTTGCTGTTGGATGTCGAAAATCTATCCAAAAAAAAAATCTGTGGGTTGTTGAATTAATTTTTTCACCTTGTACTTGCTTTTGATTGTAAAAAATATCAACTGGAATCCACAAAGATGGTTTTGGGATCCATTGACTGTGGGGTTCATTATGTGTTTGGTTATCATGTTTTTAGCATCCGTTGATTTTTTGTCAAATAAGGGTGAGATAGCTTTCGGTCAAAATGTCAATGTAACTAGGGTGATACTTGACTGGTCTGTTGTTCAATTTCTTTTGTTCAATTTGTCTTATTTGCAATCCTATGCATGTAGTTCAGTTTTTATTATGTGCATTGATTCATTGTATAATTATGATGTATCATCTAAAAGATCATAAATGGGAGATTCACAACAAGAAAAGGGAAAAGGAAACTATAATCAATGGTCCGTGGAAGAGAGCAGCATGTTGTTGCAACTACTTGTTGAGGCCGTAAAAAATGGATGGCGTGATGCTAATGGCATAATAAGCAAGCAGACTATAGAAGCCAAAATTGTTCTTGTGCTCAATGAAAAACTTGGGTGTCAAAAAACTCAAGATCATGTTAAGAACCGTGTGAAAACATTGAGGGGTCGATATCAATCAATATGTCAACTTTTTAGGCATAGTTCGGGATTTGGTTGGGACCCCATCACAAAGAAGTTCACGGCTAGTGATGAAGTATGGGAAGGCTTCCTTAGGGTGAGTTCTTTTTCTTATCGAATGTATTATTTACATGATGATCTTTCATTTTTATTGATTTTGTATTTTAACATTTATTATGTTTTTCTTTTTTGCTAGTCCCACCCAAAGAGTCAAGGTATTCGCAAAGAGACATTTACGGACTATGAAGATTTGATGACTGTATTTGGCGATGGAACAGCTAAAGGAAATAACTCAATTGGATTGGGTGATGATACTGATGCCACAACATATACAGTCGAAGAAAGTAGGCCAATTAGAGTAAACGAATTTCCTTCACCTGATGAGAGCTTTGAGCAACTTGATCCATTATTTCAAAATCCATCATATGCATCATCTTTCCTAAATGCAAATTTGGAGGGTTCCGCTCCAACACCCGTACAAAAGCTACTTCCAAGGAAAAGATCTCGACCTGAGTCTGAGCTAAAATCAAATGGGACCACCCCTCACATCGTTCTTATAGAAAAAGTTTCCCTTGGAATGGATTCGATTGCTGCAATTGCTACTGAAATTCAAGGAATTCATAGCATAATGGAGAAAAGAGAAAAAGCTAGAGATAAAATGGAAAAGGAGAAAAAAGAAGAAGAGAAAAACAACAATCTTTGGGATGCTATCAAAGAGACTCCAAACTTGGATCCTCCCGTTCGTTACAAAGCAATTGCATTGGTTCAACAGTTGGGAATGAAAAAGAGTTCTTGAAAATGACACCAGAAGAACGCTCAGAGTGGATAAAATACAATATGAATTGAATGTGGTTATTTCGGATTTGTTACATCTTGGAATATTTACTTTGTTTGATAATATGTTGACTTTAGTTCCGTTATTTAAAATTTGATATTGGAGCATTTACATAGTTTGATAATATGTTGAGTTTGGTTCGGTAATTCATTTTGACCTTGGAATATGTACTTTGTTTAATAATATGTTGACTTTGGTTTGAATGACAGAAGAAGTAGTTTGCTTCCTTACCTTTGTTTCTTTTATGCTCTAATGGATACATTTTTTATTTTTAGGTGATTCTCTCTCTCTCTCTCTCTCTATATAATGTCTGAAAACATGTATGAAGAGGAAATGGAAAGAGAAGAAGTAGATGAAGAAATGGACGAAGAAAGAGAAGAAGAAGAAGAATATCACGAAGCCATTAAGTTACTATTGATGGCATTACAAGCAATAGTTCAAGTTCTAAATGCGTTAATGGTTATCATACATGATGATCATATTGAACGTCCATTGGCTCGACGACCAATTAGTAGAATTGGTTATAATTATATTCACAAGGTATTGAATGAGGATCCTCAAGAATTTCGAGTACTATATAGAATGTATCCTGATGTTTTCCTAAAGCTATGCGACATCATTACGGAGAAGACGCATTTGAAGGGTACAAGATTTATTTGTATTGAAGAAATGGTTGCTACATTTCTACTTACCGTTGGTCAAAATTCTCGATATTGCCAAAGTCGGGACACATTTCGGCGGTCACATTTTACAAGCAAAAATTTCAACATCGTTTTGAAAGCCTTGAACACAATTGCACAAGATTTGATGGTCAAACCTGGGTCCACGGTTTCAACTAAAATAAGAGAAAGTACAAGATTTTACCCTTATTTTAAGGTTAGTAAGTAATATTATTATAGTAATTGTTATTTCAATTTCATAAGCATATACATAGCTATGTATTACGTAAAAGGTTTTGCCCTTATTTTAAGTTTTTTAATTAACTCTAGTACATATTTTAGGATTCCATTGGAGCTATTGACGGAACACATATACCAGCCATGGTATCAGGACCCGAAGTAGCTAGCTATCGTGATCGTCATGGAAAAATAACACAAAATGTATTAGCTGCTTGTAACTTTGATTTGGAATTCCTATATGTTCTTAGCGGATGGGAGGGTTCAGCTCATGACTCCAAAGTGTTAGATGATGCTGTATCAAGGACGAACGGACTTAAAGTGCCAGAAGGTTCTTATTCATTCATTTATTTGTTGTTTTTTATTCTAGGAATTACTAGACATATAATTTTATTTGTTCTTATTTTAGGTAAATTTTTCTAGTGGATTGTGGATTTGCCAATCGTCGTCAATTTTTAGCTCCGTTTCGAGGTGTTCGGTATCATCTCCAAGATTTTGCTGGTAACAATCGTGACCCTGTAAATGCAAATGAGTTGTTCAATCTTCGACATGCTTCCTTGAGAAATGTAGTGGAGAGGATATTTGGTGTATTTAAATCTCGATTCACAATTTTTAAGTCAGCACCTCCATTTCCAATTAAAACACAAGCAGAGTTAGTGTTAGCTTGTGCAGGATTGCACAACTTTCTTCGCAAGGAGTGTCGTTCTGATGAATTTCCAATTGAATCTGAAGACGATGAATCTGATGATGAAGAAAATGATGATGAACCAGGTAATCAAACCCAAGAGCAACAACGACAGATTGCTAATGCATGGAGAGCTGGCATTGCTACAAATATGTGGACAGATGCTGTGAATGATAGGATTCAAAGATGAGAAATAGAGGGGATTATTTGATTTTATGGATTTTTTTTTTAATTTCTATTCTTGATCCCTCGGATTTTAGGATGGTGGTAGAATAAAAGGCTTGAGGACCATTGGCATATGTTGAGTTTGAAAAATGTTTCTTTTTCGTGTTCAAAAGAACTGTTTGGTACATTCCATTAGTGTTTTTATTGATTGAGTTGAGCACAATTTGCAGGTTGGTCTCTGTTTCTTACATGTAAGTCAATTAGGAATGACTGCGAAGGTGGCCTAAAACCGGGAGAGCCATTCAAAGTAACCTTCAGCCAACCACCTTCTATGCACTTTGCAAAATTATGTGAGACTTGAAGTGGGCAAATGCAATCACAAGCTTCCGCTTATTAAGTGAATTGTCAAGGAGATACCTTGCATATTCATTTACACTCACGAAACGAACCTTAACTTGATCTAAAAGCCATTTCTCCAATGTCCCCTTCCTAGAGCAAGACTGGATAGCTTCCTGTGTAGTTTTTGGCATAAAGCGAAGCCTACCGGCAGGTAGAAACTTGTTGTTCCAATCAATCAGCCATGAGACATGATCAGAATCACTGGATATGTAAATCTTACTATCACCATTCTGTATTGCACTTATGCGGCACAAAGATTCCGTTCCATAACCTGAACATTATATTAGTGGTACTTTCTTGATGTTGGTCTGGAAATTTTTCTCCCTGATATAGTTGCCTATAAATGGATTGGTCAAAATTCAAGAAGTACATCAGAGTTTTTCTTTTGCCTTCTGGGACAACCCAATTTTACCAATCAATTTGGCTTTTCTTGAAATAAAATAATCATTGTGATTTCATGGGAATTCAACAAATCTCTTGAAATTCATGAATAAACTCTCTGAAATTCTCTAAGCCCATGCAAAGAATTCTCTCACAATCCATGTGAATTCTATGAAACTTTAACTCAAAATCCCTGGAAAGTGATTTTTTTTCACTCAAATTCCCTCAAATTCCATGGAATTAGATTCTCTGAAACTCTCTCAAAATCTCAATTGAATACACCCCCCTAAACTTAAAAAAAAAATTCTTTTAATAATTATTTTGATTTTTAAAAAATAAAAATTATAAATTAAAGAGTAAAAATAAAAAAATAAAAAAAATTGAAAAGATAAAGAAAGTGATTTCACTTTTGGTTTGAAAACTAAAAACTTAGAGTAATTATCAAATGATTTTCAATTTTTTTTAAAACAATTTTCAATTTATGAAAATTGAAAACAAATGGTTTTCAAATGGCCCATAAAAGAAATGAGATTGCAAGATTTAGCATAATGTTTACATCCTGAAATTGCAATGAATGAGATTTTACATTGAGCAAATTTGAAAGTAATAATAATAATTGTATCTCTTCATTGGGGAAGCACATATTCCACCTCTTGTGAATAATGTGTTTTTACCGTATAAATTTTGGGACCATTTTTGCTCACCGCCATAAACTATGATGTATGCTCACCATACACCTAATCAATTGACATGTGTTCTTTCATCTAACTCTAGTTAACTTTCACATTAAATGTTAGTTTTTCAATTTTGAAAAAAATTAACCAAGATTAAGTGAAAGAACACGTGTCAATTGATTAGGTGTATGGTGAGCATACACCATAGTTTATGGTGGTGAGCAAAAATGCTCCCATAAATTTTATAAGAAAAAGCGTTCAAATTCTTAATCTTCATTTGAAGATCATTCAAATCAGATATAGTTTAGTCATTTAAATGTAGGAAACAAATAGTCAATGTGGATATTAAATAACATATTCATGACGAACCTGTTGAAATTTGTTAGTTTATTTAGGAAATTAACTAGCTAGAGAATTGATTTGATTTTGTAAAGGGTATATTTGGTATTTGCGCATTAGGAAAAGACGCTGGTTTGAGTTGTGTTGATTTTATTTCTTATGAATGTTGATATAATCGGATTAATTCTAAACCGGTGATCCTCTCCACAAAATCACTTCAGGTGATTTTATGGTGGTATACTTCCCAAGCCAATGTGCATTGTTGTGTGGAGGTGTGATTAGTGCTTTACTTCTACACAGCAGTTGCGGAAGAAATGGCGAATGGATGCCAGGCCGGAAACAGGTGCGCGATTCTTTGAACTGTTGGGATGTGATGAATCCGACGAGTTGTTCAAGTTGAGGACATGTTTAAGCATACTAACAAACCGTGAGTTGGCGGCGGGTTGCATGCATGAAAATGGTCAAACAAGTGAGAGCAAACGAAGAAGAAGAAGATGATGTTAGACAAACCACATTGTCAGTTTGTTCACTAAGAAACTAATTTCAGAACCTATTGATATATGTAGGCTTTGACAGACAGGTTAAGTAGTTACCAATACATTCCAGCCGCAATGTATAAGCAATGCATGGAACATCTACGAAGTTTCTGATATTCCCAGAGTTCGACTCTCTTACTCCATTTTCTTCTGCACACAAAAAACAGAAGGACAAAACTTCAAAACTCACGGTTTCAAGAAGTCATTGCTATGTTGAATAGCAGAAACAAACTGCAAGTGTTTTCTACATAATTTGTATTTGTAATAAAGTAACAGAGCGTCGACTTCTTGAAAAATGAAACTAAAATTGCGTGTCTGCTAGCTTGTGAGCGGTAATTCAAGTTTTTAGAATGTTGTTATTGCTTAAAAAGTCGCTGTATTGTTAAAAAAAATCAAGTTACTTTGTATGTTCAACCTTACTCCACTACAAACTAAAAGAATTCCAGATTCAGACAACGATATGTGTTCATCACTTGTGATATTGAAGCGAAAACACAGTAGTAAAAGCAAGGTTTTGGACATACCAACTGAAATACGGCCTTCGTTTTAAAGCTTTACTACGATGTACATCCCTCTAACTTACCTTCCATTCTTTCAAGCCTTGTACTGTTGCACACCCAGCTTTAAGCTCCAACAGCTTTTTCTCAAATAAAGAGGTACTGCTAGCACATCCATCGCCTGCGATTCTCACAAAGCCCTCATCGGACTTCATGGTATTAACACAACATTCTTCTGCAACTGGAGATACCATTTTATGAACTTGACCCGATAATTTCTCACGGTCACTACTTTGTCTAATCCCACTACTTTCATGCTTCTTTCTACATTTCCGAAATTCTGATATAGTTAGTTTATCTTCTTCATCCATTTGTTCTTCAGCTTCTGTTCGTTTATGTTCGGAAGGAAAACCAGAAGGAACAGAAGGGTGGTTCGCCCTCAATAGTAGCAATTTCATACTCTTTGATCTCTCTGATATCTCTTTCCGTGGCACAGCTGCTTCACACTCATCTTTGGAACCTGACACTGATTGGTTCCACCACTTCAATTAATTTGTGCGGACATCGGCCTCGAAAAGCCAAGATGGGATACAGTATTACCTTCTTGGTTTCCTTGGTGTAATACCTCTTGTGCTTCAGTTGAGTAAAGGAAGAGCTTGATCGTATCCAAATTGCATAGCTACCCGATGCGGAAAGTAATGCTCTATAGTACCTCAAGCATCTAACAAATGACTGTAGTTCATCACCCGAATCAGGTCCAACCGAAACCCACTTTTCCTTTTGTGGATAGTATTCAGGCAAATGCCAGTTCTCAACGACATCCAATGCATAAGGCCGCCACAAGAACTCTTCTCCAGCTGAGTCTAAAGCCTTTCTCAAGTTTTCAACTCCCCGACCAACCATCTACTGTTGGTATATGGTCCAGCCCATGACCAATGTTCTAGATTATTCTAGTAAGCAAGAGAGGTGGCTGGAGCATGCTAGACAATTCTAGCATGTTATTAAGTTGATGGAAGAAGCTAGAGAGTACTAGCTTCCTTGGTTGCAAATGGAAAGATCTAGAAGCTACAATTATGTGGCTAGTCTAAAATTTTCTATACTAGAGGTTTGAAGAAGGAACTAGAAACTAGTAGAATGCCAAGCCCTCACCTATAAATATGGGTGTGATGTAACCAATTAAAAACCAAGTGTGAGTAGCAAAAGATCAAGTCCAAAGCTAGAGTTCCACTCCAAGAGTGAGAGTGAGAGTGTTCCACTACACATTGTGAGTGAAGTTTAGAGTGATAGAAAGTGTGTGTCATACTTTCTTGTATCCATCAAGCCTTGTCTTTGGCTTGGTAAGACTACTCTTGTTGTACTCATCTTTTTCATATAGTGAAGATTGATCCTTGTTTTGTGGACGTAGGCATAAATTGCCGAACTACATAAATTCTTGGTGTCCATTTTCTACTTTACTTTGAGCATTCTTTATCTTGTAGTACCAACATTCCTAACATCTACTTTGTCCCATCTTGCCATTCTTGGCTCGCCATTGTTGAGATGATTGGGGTTTTCTGGCCTAAGGTCCGAGAATCGTTCCCATGCCCAAACCTGAACTAACTGAAATGGTGATCGAATGACGAGGTCTGAAACAGCACCACAACTACTTTCTAATTGGTTAGAGTCTACGATTGCCTTTTTCAACACACCCAAATCTCTATAAATGCTGGTAAGAACAGCCGGTGTAAGGGCGATACGAGTCCCCCTAGCTAAATGAATTGCTACGGAGATAACATCGTTATATATCATACTACGATTACAAACAAAAACATAGTTGCGTAGCCAAAAAACACGAAATGCTTTATGCTCGATTTCATTACCACTGTTCATGAACTTTCTCTGCCAATGTTGTGTGGTAACTGTTCCTCTATTTGCACCAATTTCTCTTTTCTCTTTTCTCTGCACGTAGTTTCTCATAGATTTCTTTCAGTTGTGAACTCTCCAGAGGGCATAAAATAGAGTCCCCTAAAACCGAAAAACCGCCTAAAACCATGACATCTTCCAACGTGATTGTTGCTTCACCCCATGAAAAAATGAAAGTATTAACACTATTTCTCAGCAAACCAGAAAACCAAATCAGTTTGTCACTTGATTTGGTATGTCGAACTGAAGATCACTTCGTATATGCCAGCCTTCTTCCAAGTAGATTGGTGCTCAGAAGCCATTTGATGAACCCAGTTTTCCAATGATTACTTTCTCGTGGAAGCCATCCACGAAAATTGACCTTCAAAGGCCATTTCTTTGGCTTGAAATGTGATGGAAGGGAGGAGAAAAAAGGTGGAAGCTTGAAAAGGGGTATATCAATGGAGGAATTCTGCGAAGTGGGTTTTAGAAAGTAGGCTTTTTTGAGAAATGGGTTGCCACCAGATGGTGGTACCCTTACCTCTTCGCTCTCTTCCACCATGAGCATGGATTCTTCTGCCTTCTCCATCCAAGGCTTCTGAGCTAAGAAGAAAATGGGGATACTCTCTCTCCTAAGAAAGTTCTGAACTTTTTGGGGGTTTTCGGAAATGCGATTTTCTGGGCCACTGTGAATTGGGTTTTTTTTGAATTTTGTGATGAGAATCGAAAATGGTTTTGCCTAATTTCTAATTTCCAATTTCCATTGATGGAATTAATAAAACAGTCTCTCTTTGTGTGTGACAGTGTCAGTAAGAAACAGTTTGTTCTGGTTGGTTTGAAAATTTGGTACGAGGGCTGCTCTATCCTTCTACATTAATGCTCAGATAGGAGGTGAAGGTCCAATCATGATCCTCCACCTTTTAGCACAATTCTGCCTTCCGTACAAGAAACACTTAAATGCCGGTTCACTCTTCTTTAAAAAAGAATCGAGATATTCTCTGGATCTCATATTCCAATGCCGATGGATCGAAAAATTTGGGTCATTAATTTTAAATCTTTAACCTTTTTTACTGGCTCACCTCACACAAATCAAGAGTTTGAATCTCTTTCTCGCTCTCTTAAACGATCTAAATTTCTTAATCCATCGATTTTGGATTGCGAGATTCGAAGAGGATTTGAATTCATTCAAGCAATGCTAGGTGGGAGGGAAGAGAAAATAATTTAAAAATTGATAGAAAATTATAATAATAAAAAAAAAAGATACGTGTCATCCAGAGCCTTTAGATAGTCAATTTCATATTCCATAAGTAAAAAATAAGCTTTACTTTATTAATGTGTTTGTACTTTTAATAATTAGAATTTTGTACTAAATGGAGTTTGTGAAGGGGTTTGATAGCTTGAAGGAGAATATTAGGACCTTTGGGGTGTGTTTAGACAAAAAAAAAATACAAAAAGATTTTTTAAAAACCTTATGCAATCGAAATAATCATTACATATTGGAGCAAGCAAGTCAGCTAACAACATGAGAAACGTGCCAAATTACATTAGGTGTTTTTTACTAACCAAATTACGTTAGTTAAAATAGAATAAACCCAAACCGAAAAACTTCAATATTTCATGTCTTAGAGGCCAACATCACGGAAAAATAAAACATATTAGAATGTGAATATCCGACCCAAACCAAATTGCCAAATGGCTAAAGGGCTTTGACCTCCAATATGGGATACTCAAACGCTATCTAGGCTGGAAAAAAGTTCACCCAAACCGGATTCAAAAAGGCATAATATCAAAACCATATTCCACATTTTAACCGTTGAAAGTGGGGACTTCAATTTACACCCTTTCTATTTGCCAGAAAATTTAATATTTTCATGTACAAGCTTAAAAGATACTGTCATACAAATTCCATTAAACATAAAGAGCAAATGTTTAACTCCACAAGTTCAACAGAGAATTGATAAATTAAACGGAATCACGAATTTTGTTCTTCATGGTCAGAATATATGGTTAAAAAAGCAATTAACTTCTTTGATCTTAACAAATTTGCAGGCTTTGATCAAAAGGTTAAGTATTCACCAATACATATTAGCTGCAATATACTAGCAAAGCATTTTTCTGATATTTCCACAGTTCTATTCTCTTCTTGAAATTTCCCTGCACCAAAAAAAAAAAAAAAAAAAAAAAAACGAAAAAATTTATCTCACGATCTCAAGAGGTCGAAACCATATTGCATAACAGAAACAAAATGCAAAGTGTTTTACGAAAAGTAATAAGAGGTATGTACTGATCGGAAAAACAAAGTAGTAATATTGATTTTATACTTCAGTTTATACACGTCATATTTCTCTCTCTAAACTCTCTGTGTTCATCTTTTTTCTGTTCATCTTTCTTCTTGATTTTCTCTTCAATTCTCAAATATTTCAATGTAGTTAACAAATTCAGATGTCTACATATACAATGTTTACAGCATACAGAGTTTTAGGATAAGACCAGTTACAATCTACCTAACTACCCTGGCTTATGGATTATGTCTAAATGTGAGTCTTGTTCCGTCAGTATCGTAGCTTCTTTGGGCATAGTTAGTACAAGAAAGAAAAATGTCTTTAAATTAGTAAAAAGATGAAATTAATTTATATGTTCGACCATCTCATTCGGCTAACAATAGCATCCACATTCAGACAGCAAACAAAACAAAAATAAAGTCAAATGAAGAGAAAGAAGAGTGTTCATCACTAAGCAAAAGCACAGTAATAAAAGCCAGTGGACATACCAACTAAAGAAAGGCTTCTTTCAAAAGCTTGTCCAAAAGTTGCTTCTCTCAAATGAATCTGCTTTTAACTCCATGACCATACTTTCAAGCCTTGTACACCTCGTTTTAAGTTCCCGCAGCTGTTGGTCAAATAAGGAGCTACTGCTAGCACATCCATTGCCTACGATGCTCACAATTCCCTCATCCGATGTCATCATATTAATAGAACTTTCTTCTGCAACTGGAGATGCCGAATGAGCTTGACCTGATAATTTCTCAAGGTCACTACTTTGTCTAATCCCACCACTTTCATGCTTCTTCCTATATTTCAGGACTTCTGATATAGTTAGTTTATCTTCTTCATCCATCGGTTCTTCAGCTTCCATTCCTTTATGCTTGTGAGGAAACCCAGGAGGAACAGAAGGGTGGTTAGTCCACAATAGTAGCGATTTCCTACGCTTTGTTGTCTTTGATCTCTTTTTTCGTGGCACAGCTGCTTTACATGCATCTTTGTGACCTGACACTGATTGGTTCCACCACTTCAAGTAATTTGTGCTGACATCCGCCTCGAAAAGCCTAGATGGAAGATACAGTTTTACCTTCTTGGTTTCCTCGATGTAATGCTTCCAGTCTGTATTTGAATTGTGCCTCAGTTCAGTACGAGAACAAGGAAGATCTTGATCGTATCCAAATTGCATAGCTACCCGATGTGGAAGGTATTGCTCTATAGCACCATTTAGTCCAACGAGTTCACTCATCCTCAAGCATCTAACAAATGACTGTAGTTCATCATCCGAAGCAGGTCCAACCGAAACCCACTTTTCCTTTTGTGGATAGTATTCAGGCAAATGCCAGTTCTCAACGACATCCAATGCATAAGGCCGCCACAGGAACTCTTCTCTTGCTGAGTCTAAAACCTTTCCCAAGTTCTCAACTTTTTGACCATTTAATGTATCCCATCTAGCCATTCTTGGCTCACCACAATTGAGACGATTGGGGTTTTCCGGCCTAAGGTCCGAGAAACGTTCCCATGCCCAAACTTGAACTAACTGAAATGGTGACCGAATGACGAGCTCTGAAACATCATTACTACTTATTTCCAATTTGTTTGAATCTACGATTGCCATTTTCAACACACCCAAATCTCTATAAATGCTGGCAAGAACAGCTGGTGCAAGCGCAATTCGAGTCCCCCTAGCTAAATGAATTGCTACGGAGAATACATCGTTGTGGATCCTATAACGACCACTAACAAAAACATAGCTGCACAACCAAAAGACAAGAAATGCTTCGTGCTCGATTTCACTCCCACAGTTCATGAACTTCTTCTGCCAAATTTGTGTGGTAACATTTCCCTTGTTCCGAACAATTTGTCTTCTCTGTGCAAGTAGTTTCTCATGGATTTCTTTCAGTTGTGAACTCTCAAGAGGACATAAAACAGAGTCACCCAAAACCGAAAAACCGCCTAAAACCATGACATCTTCTAACGTGATTGTTGATTCACCCCATGGAAAAGAAAAACTACTGGTTTCTGAACACCATTTCTCAGCAAACCCAAAAACCAAATCGGTTTGTCTTCGTATTTTGTACGTCGAATTAATGATTGCTTCGTAAATGCCAGCCTTCTTCCAGGTAGATCGGTGCACAGATGCCATTTGGTCGATCCATGTTTTCCAATCTTTTTGGCCGTAAGTCCATCCATGAAATTCAACCTTCAAAGGCCATTTCTGCAGCTCGAAATGTGATGGGAAAGAAGAGGAAAAAGGTGGGAGCTTGGAAAGGGGTTCATCAATGGAGGAATTTTGCAAAGGGGGTTTTAGAAAGTAGGCTTTTTTGAGAAATGGGTTTCCACCAGATGGTGGAACCATCAACTCCTCTCTCTCTTCCACCATGGATTCTTCTGGGTCCTCCATCATCCAAGGCTTCCAAGCTCGAGAAGAAGAAAATGGAAGTATTTTCTCTCTTTTTCCTGAGAAAATTTTGGTTTTTTTGGAGGGTTTTGGATTGAATGGGGTTGTTTTCTTCTGCGGCCGCTGTGAAATGAGCATTCAAAAATCAAACTCAAAAATCATTTGAGGATAACGGATCTAATTTTCCATTGATGGAATAAAACAGCCATGAGTAAGAAACAGGTTCTTCTGGTTGGTCCGAAAATATGATTCGAGGGTTGCTCCTCTAGGAGGGTGAATGTCCAATCATATTCCTCCACCTTCTACGGCCATTCTGCCTTTTCTTCAACCAAAAAAAAATATTTCACTAATTAAATAAATAGAACTTTAACGAAAAGCACCAAGTACTGTTCACTTTAACGAAAAACCATATTTTTACACTAAAAAGTCAATCCTGGTACTATTCACTTTACCCTTTATTTTGTCCTTATTATTAAAACTTAAAGTTTTCAAGCCATTTTCATTAGTTTTCCTTTAAATAAAAGGGTAAATTACATTTTACTAATTAGGTTTGAGGTCGATTTCAATTCCTTACAATATCTTTAAAACATATCACTTTCATACCTTAAGTACTATTTTATTTCAATTTCATACGTCCGTTAGAAAATCTGTTAAATAAATCGTTAAGTGATGACGTGGCAAATAAGGGGTCCCTATTTGTGTTGACGTGGCTACTATATTTGTGACATGTGGCTAAACGCTTAATAAAAATTTTAAAAATTTAAAATAATTAATTAAAAAAAGAAAAGAAAAGAAAAAGCCAAAACCTAGTTCGTCTTCCCCACCCGAGCACACCCCCAACCCAGAATCCCCTTCACGCTCACACTCCTCACCGTCAACGCCTTCCTCATCACACTCACACTCTTCACCACCCTCACCGAAGCTCACAACATCACACGCCGACCCTCCTCCACTCTCCTCGCTCTCTCTCTCAAACCCTAAACCCCCCAAAATCCCCAGATCCAAAATCCTCAGTTCTCGACATTCAACCACTACCTCACCCTCACCCACCTTACCGCCGACATCATGACCGCACCACCATCACCTTCTGCGCCGTCGACAATTGGGGAATGTCGGCCCTTCTCTCCAAGCCTGGTTGAAAAAGCACTGGTGGATTTATTTTTATTTTTTGCAGGTTTCATACAAATAATCTGGGTTATTTTTTAGGGGAGGTGGTGGGGTGGGGTGGGGTGGGATGGGGGATTTGGATTGCAGGGAAGGGGTGGGTTTTATTGGATAGGAGGGGCGGTGAAGAGAGCAGAGGAGAGGAAGAAAGGATCGGGGAAGATGATTTCAGGTTTTTTTTTAATAGGGTAAATGATTATAATATTTTTAATGCATAAATTTTTTTTTTGCAACGTGGCATAAATTTGGCAGCCACATCAGCACAAATGTGACAGCCACGTCAGCTTTTAACAAACTAATAGATGAAAAATGTAATGGATGAATTATATTGAAATAAAATAGTACTTGATGTATGAAAGTGAAATGTTTTAAAAATATTGTAAGGAATTGAAATCGACCCCAAACCTGAGAGGGTAAAATATAATTTACACTAAATAAAATGTTAAACATCAACCATACAATTTAATAATTACAAACGCATCAGAATACAAAATAGAAATATTCATTTTTCCTTTTAGTTGTGAGTGATTCACATAGAACTAGTTCACTGTTTCAAAGCATTCTAATCCAATAATATATTGTCATGTATAAATTTTTTTTTCCATGGCAATACGTTATTGGACCAGGACACCATAGTGACAGTAAAATTGTTCTATGTAAGTTACTCTACCAGCTCGTTTGAATGTGCTTTTAAAATGAATAAAAGCGTTTTTGGTTAAAATATTTTTAGAAACAATTCTTAGTAAAAATGTAAGTAAATCTTGAAAAAGCACTTAAAATGCTTCATGTAAGAAGCACATAACTGGTGCTTCTTGTAGAAAACACTTGATTAATTGGAGCCCAAAAACAATTTCTCCAAAAGTATTTTCAGTCATTTTAAAAACATATCCAAACGAATCCCAAGTCTAGTATTATTTTTTGGGCGGGGCAATGCCTAGTGCTTCTTGTCTTCCGCACAAGAAACAGTAAATGTTGCATGACTCTTCATTCAAATAATGTTTGGCCCATTCGGTTCACGTGTTAGAAGTTTGAGAACGGAGTTAAATTTAAAGGTAAAAAGAGCATTTCCAGTGAGGGGCTTTATATAGGATTGGAAAAGTAGTTGATATAGCCCATTTAAGAGCTCTAAGGGATCTTTAAGGCTTTATAAAAGAATCTTTCCTAATGAGAGACTATTCCCTCCGGGCTTTGTATGGGGCTTTATATATTTATTTATGTAATAATTTGATTATGCGATAAATTTTTTTGAGTTAACTTTTCTTAAGTTGATTTTTGGACGTGTTATCTTAATTTTTTTATGAACCTTCCAACCCAAAAAAGATCAAATTCTGACAAAGTTAGATTTCATCTGTTCAAACCCTCACATCGCCCTCTGAAATAATTTGATTTTCACGTATAACAATAATTTACCTAGCACCAATTGGTAAATTAGTATCATACAATTTTGAAAAGAAAAAAAATTTATTTGAAAATTTCACTCAACAATGCTCATGAACGTTAAATCAATTTTGAAATTTTAATTCTTATGGAATATAAAACAATCATTAATTAGCCAAATTCCAAGAAAAATATGTAAAAAAAAAAAAAGGAACTAAAAAAAAAAAAGAATAAAAGGAGAGTATAAGTGTATTCGCAAGTGGGCGGAGAGTAATAGAATTTTGCTCACATTGGTTGCTACTTTTTTTGTGGAACCCACTATTTTTTTAGGGCTAGATTGAGCCCAATTTTATGGTACCTAAGAAAGGAAGTTGTTATCTCAAGTGGTGGATTTAGCCCCATTTTTCGACTCATTGAGGATGAAATTTCTCACTAAGGCTTGAAATGTAGTAGCCTTATAGAGAATAAAGCCCCTATTGGGAATGCTCTAATAAGTTAAAATCATGAAAAATTAAATCTTAATTGTTAAACTGATAAGGTTAACATCTTCAACATACAATCAAATATCTAAGGTATAATATAGGTATCCAATTTCGATGACAGTTGGTTATTTCTAAATCAATATCTAAAGATCATGATAATGTTAATCCAACGATTAACAATTTTTTATTTGGTTGATTTTTTGCAGAGGTCATGGTCCACGAAATAAACGATTTTATCAAGTAACGTTGTAGGATCGTTAAAAAAAGGAGGAGGTAAAACGTGAAGGTACAAAAGGAAGGGTACCTAGCATTCTTGAAAATATTCTTATGTTAGGCAAAAATCTTATATATGGTACTAAATACTAGGGGTGGGTTCGGTACGGTTACCGTACCAAAACCCTTGTACTAATTACTGTACCAAACTTTTGGTTTGGTAAAATCTATTACCATTACCGTACCAAACTTTCGGTATACCGAAGTTCAGTATTGTCAAAAGTTCGGTTGGCATGGTATGACAATGGTAATTGCCATTTTGTTTTGGGACAAAATCTGTTTTTGTTTTTTTAACCCAATTCAAGGGCAAAACTTTTTTTTTTGGTATCTTTATCTCATACATTATAGATTAAATTAATCTATTATTCATCATTCATAATTCACATACATAATAATGCAAATGATGCATCAAGATTCATCATGAAAATTAAGCTTACAATCCAAATAGAAGTTACGAATCAAAACAAATAGAAGTCAACAATTCAAATAGAAATTAAAGTTTCAAACCAAATGAAAATTGGAAGTAAACTTCAAAAAGGAGAATTCATTGATCAATTATTAAGCTTGAGATGTCGAAACTTTTGGAGGAGGCATTGAATTTGTAGAAGATTGAGTTTGTGTCAAGCCTACATTACAAACAAAGAAAACATATTAACTAGTAGCAAGAAGAATTAAAGTTGAAAACCATTTAATAACAAATTTACTAAAAAAATTAAAGCATATATTTCTTGTTTTCTCTTCTTCCATTTCCTTGTAAAATTGAAGCATGTCTTCCGTTGGTTCCTTGTAGAAGTTTACTTCATCTGCCCTAAGCCAACCACTAGTACGCACTAGTGACTCCATTATTTTAGAGGTCAAGGATACCCTAAAAGGGTCCACAACCCTTCTCCCTAGGCTAAATGCATTTTCACTAGCAACAGTAGAAGTGGGGGTTACAAGGATATTTTGGCTATTTGTAAAAGAATTAGGAACTCTTTTGTGTTTGATTTCCACAATTTTAAGAGATCAATCATCAAAGTCACCAACAACAATGCTAATATAAGTAGGGTTTTCTTTTGAAATTATTGGAATATTATAAAAATGTGTTATATAATTATCTATTATATAATTTATAAATTATAAATTATATTGTATTTTCGGTATGGTACGGTAATACCGTGGTAATGATATCCATTACCAATACCGTACCATGAGATGATAATAATGTGATTCAAATTCGCATTTAGTAAGAATCGAAAAAAAAAAACGGTTAATTTAAATATTTTTACATTTGAACACGTTTCAATAATTTGTTAAATTGTAGGTTTTTTTATATGAAACCTTGTATGGAGTGCCTAAAACAAAACGTATATTACATAGAACTCACTACTTTTCAATCCTTACATGGAAAGACAAAAAACCACAACACACTAAACCCACCCTTATTCGCCTGTCAAATTGTTATTTGACAAATCTAGTAGCTGGAGGCTACTCAAATTGCCTAGAACCTGGTATTATACACGACAAATCCGGAAAACAGCCCCAAAAACATAACTTCACAAGTTCAAAAGACGGTTGATAAATCATGTTGAATAACAGAAATAAACTTGAACTGATATCAGTTGCATTCTGTTGAATAAGTGGCCAAGTGGCCAAGTGGACAACAAAACAAAACACTTTCGGCTAATAAACAAACCAAAAGAAAAAAAAGTGAAAGACAAATGATTATGTTTGTTGAAAAGAAAAAAGGAAAGTCATGATGATGTTTGTAAAGTAATCATTATGTCTTTACTTTGGTTTTGTTTATTGGGTGTTTAGAATGGATGAATGTGTGCATACGGAAGTAAGAGAGAGGAAGGAAGTGTGCACCATTTTTCTGTTTTAGTAGCCCATCTTTGAGAGAGCAAAGTGAGCTGCAGAGAGCAGAAAATTGAGAGCAGAAAAGAAGAAGAAGGTGATCTTCTATTTGGTTAGTAATCATTCACCAAAGTAGTTGTTGTTGTAATAGCTTTGAGCTATATGTATAGAGAAGAAATTATTCGTTATATTTCTT